TGATGCAAGTAAATATCCACGCCAATGACTAAATTAAGGTTAAGGTTCTTTGGACAGCAAATGGATTAATGAATTTAATTTAAATTATGCATACCTTTTGTAGTTGTCACTGCTCATTAATTATTCTCAATATTTTTCTAATAGCTTTTAGATAAACAAAATTGTCACTAGCACTCCAATGATGCACATTAAACATACGCCCATGAAACACATAACAACTTCACACTTCATAGTTCACTGTGCAACTGTTCGCGTTTGGCGCCAAATCAAGTAAATAGCGTATACCAAAATGTTTATAATAACGGTCGCTAACTGGAAAATTTAAAGTAGGCGGGAATTTTAAATACGTATCATTATAATCCACGCTAATGATGTCAAACTCAGGGACACATTTAAGAAATGTTTTTTTTTCAATTCAATTTTATTTTTTTGTCTCAATCCCGCTTAACATATCTTAAAAAGTGTTGTCTATAATATACTATTGCTAGAGTATTTATGGACAGTTTGTTAATTTGCAAAAAAAAATATTCTGGTGAAAGGATATCCAGGGACATCCACGCTAATGACAATTTATGTAATTAAAGGGAAAATGTATCGAATTGGTTTTATTTTATTATTAAGTTAATAGGTGTATGAATAGGGTCAATAAACCCCTAAATAAATATAAAATAAAAAATGGTGAACATGCACTTAACTGAGCATGGCAAGTCAGGGACATAAAATTTCCCCTATTGTAAGAATGACCCATATACCCTTCATTCACTTATCCAATAAATAATAATACCCAGCTGTTACGTGTAACACCTATAAAATATTGATAACATGATGCGTATACGCGTATAATGCGTATTTACGCATTATGTTATCAATATTCTATTGGAGTTACAGTGTAACACTCTTACACGTAACAGCTGTGTACGAGTATTTATCGGATAAGTGATTATAAAGTTTTATGATTATATAGTGTCTTATTAAAACTTTTTTAATTCTCATAAAATATTATATAACATGATCGGTAAATACCTACTGATAAAGTTTAATAAGTTTTCACTAGAGCTTAAAAGTAAGACACCATATATAGTGTCTCTTAAAAACGTATACATACTCATAAAATATGTATATTATATTTAATATTATAACTACTATTCTACTGACTATAGTCTATAGAGTTAAAAAGTAATGTCTCTTAAAAACTCATAAATACTCATAAAATATTATATAACTTGATGCGTAAATACTGATAGTTTAATAAGTTTCGACCAGAGTTGAAAAGTAATTTCTCTTAAAAACTCATAAATACTCATAAAATATTATATACCTTGATGCGTAAATACTCATAAAGTTTAATTAGTATTGACCAGAGTAAGGTTGCCTATGATAAGTAGGCATCTACTATAATATAGTAGAAATCTACTTATCATGGGCAACCATTATTGCATAATACATCTCGCTTATGTGGCACTATTCGTTAAGTATATAAGTTGACACTGGCTGCATTGCAATTTAAGATTTAGGAATACGAACCTCGGCAAATAAACGAGTCACGAATTGTGGCCTACGACAATTTAGCTTTTTCACTGAAATTCTTTGTTGGAGCCAGGATTGTTCCGTCTAGATCGTCATGGAATTTCCGTGGTCCTCTGCTTAAACAGTGCCTGCTTTGCAAGGCCAAAGCCGCGAACCCCCACAATTTACTACTTCACGTAATATTTTGATCGATTCGACGTCATCCAACAGGTCAAAACGACGTAATGGGTGACGAAATAAATACGTTAAAAGAACGTCATACTGTCAGCTGGGTAGTGTCTCTTAAAAACGTATACATACTCATAAAATATGTATATTATATTTAATATTATAACTACTATTCTACTGACTAGAGTTAAAAAGTAATGTCTCTTAAAAACTCATAAATACTCATAAAATATTATATAACTTGATGCGTAAATACTGATAGTTTAATAAGTTTTGACCAGAGTTGAAAAGTAATTTCTCTTAAAAACTCATAAATACTCATAAAATATTATATACCTTGATGCGTAAATACTCATAAAGTTTAATTAGTATTGACCAGAGTTGAAAAGTAGTTTCTCTTAAAAACCTATAGAATTTGAAAAGTTTGTATCAGAAATTGCTGTTTCATAGGCCCTATAAAATCTCATCAACTTTTATAAGTTTTTATAAGTTTTTTTTTATAAGTTTTTATGCGGGATTTTCAGCAGGGAGTTAACTTACCGAAAAATGACCTTTTTTGTAGAGCGTTTAATTAATATTCCAAAATTTTTTAAATGAGTCAGGTAGACTCGCCAAAAAAGTTTAAAAAAGAAGAGACAAATTTATCAAAAAATCATTAGAAACCTTTTTTGTAGAGCGTTCAATTCTCTACAAAAATATGTCAAGAACTTTACAGTACGACCTATCGTACATAATTTTTCCTATGTTATTCTTATGGAAAATCTAAATGGGCGAGCATCTTAATTTTGAAGCTCATCTCTTCACAGGCTTTTTATATCTATACAAACCTTTTGATCGTGGTTCCAAGAAAAAAAAAACAAAACAGTTTTATTTGAATCACCCTATAGGGTATATAGGGTATATAGGGTATATTATAATCAGTGGCGGCTGGTGGATTTTAAGTATACCAATATCTCAGTTATTAGACATGGGACCCACACCAAATTTATAATAGTTTATATTGACATTAAATAAACAAGTTCGGCGCAAACAGAATTTAAATTGAAGTTTGCGAAAAAAAGTTAGTTTTTCCTGTCGCCTACCCTGCCTCCAGGCCCCCCTATTTGAGATAATTCAAATTAAAGTGGTGCAATTTATTATCTACTATAATTTATCGACAAATTTAAAATTTTATTCAAAAAATCCAAATATTACAGATTTTATTCGATTTTAAATTTTTATTATTTATTTTATTAAAATAAAAAAATATTTAAAATGGTATAAAAACTGTAATATTTGGATTTTTTGAATAAAATTTTAAATTTGTCGATAAATTATAGTAGATAATAAATTGCACCACTTTAATTTGAATTATCTCAAATAGGGGGGCCTGGAGGCAGGGTAGGCGACAGGAAAAACTAACTTTTTTTCGCAAACTTCAATTTAAATTCTGTTTGCGCCGAACTTGTTTATTTAATGTCAATATAAACTATTATAAATTTGGTGTGGGTCCCATGTCTAATAACTGAGATATTGGTATACTTAAAATCCACCAGCCGCCACTGATTATAATATACATATACATATACATATTATAATATACATATCGCACATCCAGTTTAAGAAGACCATAACTCAAAAATCAACAGTTTTGAGTTATAGTGGTTTTTAAATAGGTACTTAAACAACCATAGAATAGATTTATGAATCCATCATAGCTTGTCCTATTTTTAAGAACTTTATTACACATACATTTATATTGGACTGAAATATCTGTATTGTCTAAGTGCGCACCCACCATATAAAAATATATGGTGCCTAAATTATTCTAATTTCTCTTATTTTGTGTGCAAGACCAGTGCCATTTTATGTAAAAAAGAAAGAGGGACTTTTATTTCTTTGCAAAATAATGGCCGTGAAGGAACCCTATTATGATTTTTATCCCTGGAGTCGTCTCAACCAAAACCGAAAGAAAAAGTAAAGGTTCTTAATTTAAAAAATATTATATTCTTTTTTTGTTTGATTAAAATAAATTATATTCATTAATAAAAATCTTTTTCAATTTGTATAACAAAAAAGTCTAATTGCCATAAACCTAATTAATGCAACATAATTAGAAAATATGAGACAAATTTCTAGTGCAATACTCACATATTTTCTTTAAATAATAAAAAAATCTTTCTAAAAAATATAGATTTTTACGAAATATACTGATTAAAAGCTATTGTATTTGCTATGCAGAGGTTGTAAAAGGGCGTTATTGTAGTCCGTACTTTCTTTAAAAAATTCCTTTAACCTTTGCAAAACTTAAAACTTGATTATTTCATTTCAATGTTTTTTGAGTTCCGGTGGTCTTGAACTGGGTGTGCGATATATACACAGTGTGACCCATTTGTTTGCGACTCCACTGTAAAATCCTTATTTATTGTACGATTTTAACTGGATTTGTTTTAAAATGTAGATCTTGATAAACTATATTTTTTGGGCAAAAAACGCTATATTTTTATAAAATAGAAAGTTTACTATGTCAGTTTTTGAGAGTAAATTTTTAAGAATTCGCATCAGTGATTTAAAAAAAATCTATGCACCACCCCTCAAAACGACCCTATACAGTATAGGGTATACTTAATTTTATTTAAAATTTTTAAGTAGGAACGATTTTGTAGCTAAATTAAAAATGCACAATAATTACTATTCTCCAAAATTTTCGGTTAAAATCGCACAATAAATAAAAATTTTACAGGGGTGAGTAGCAAAAAATGGGTTACACTGTATATAGATACTCTTAAAATGTTTTCTAGGGTGTTTTTTTTCAGATATATTAATTTACCTTTCTAATTAAATTTTGTAATTAAATAAGGATGTTTAAAAGTAGGGCATTAGTGTCTAGTAATATATAATAATAATAGTATGATAAACAACCTATATTTTGATTGCCCGCTCTGCGTATAAAAGTCTTAAAATATCATAATAATAATTAATATTTACGTGCACTTCTAATGATGACCATAAAAACAATTAAGCTAAACATGCCTCCGCCTCGAACAAACCTGTAGGTAATCAGAAAAATAGTTTTCCGACCAATGATGATAATTGGCGAATGCGCAGGTCGACGAAGGCGGGGTGAATAAGACGCCGACGCCTCCAGTGTCATAATGAATTCCTAGCAACGTTATTTTTTCGTAACACAATAAAGTTGTTACACGCAACCCTAATTGTCTTTAGTATTTATTTGTCGACACGGCAACACGGTCACGATCCGATTGTTTGGTTTGATTCCTCCCTCGATGTTGTGACCGGTGTGCGATTTACGTTCAGTTTGTAAGATGGATGCGCGAGCTAGATACAATTTTGGCGGGTCTGCTGCTGGGAATCCCCTGCTTCCAGTTTCCGCTTTTTCCGCTTACAGCCTCCTTAGAAACTACAATTTGTTGTCTGCTCCAACCGAAGGTTTGTACTCAAAGATCAAGTATTAATTTAATTTTTGCTAAATTTTATAGTTTGAAAGAGGATTTTTTTACTGCTATGTAATGAAACCAAAATCAAACTTAAATAAATTATTCGCTTTTAAGACTATATTATGTATCATGTTTTATAAACGCCCTTTTTTGTCAAGAATTTAAATTAGGCACGAGCGAGATTGCAAGCGAGTGTTTAAATAAATGAGTGTCTAGAAAAGTTTATAAAGTATTTTTTTTCTACGACAAATACTTAATGTTATCTAAAAAATGATTTAAATTAAATATTTGTATAAAGCGATATCTATTCGAAAATAAAGTAACCATCCAAATAAACATTTTTGAATTGTCACCGTTATTAATTTTAATTAAACTTAACATTTTTGATACCTACCTACTTTAAAATATTAAAATAACTTTAAAATATGTGATTATGTTAATTTAATTTTTTTTATTACTATAATTACAAAATATTATCACAAATTTAATACTAGTATTAAAAATTATTACACAGAAAATGTTAAGGTAGGTACCTTACTACCTAACTGTGGTATGTATTGGGAATCTACCGGCGTTAAAATGTGAAATTTTTCTTTGGAAATAGAAATTTATCCCTTGAAAATAGACTATATAGAAGCAGTTTTTCACAGTAAAAGTGAAGAAAATGTTTTATGGGCACTGCAAGCCAAGTGTTTAATGCTTTATCTGTTAAATCTAGTCTAATGCACTACTAGGGCGAAATCAAAAGGTCAGTACAAACGTTCATATATTTTTTTCAAATATTGGCGTTAAGAAACTATTTATTGAGATAAAATAATTTTCACATTTAAGTCGGTTTCATACAGATACGAAATGCAAATTGTGAAATACGAATATTCCCATTTCGCAACTTCTATTTCATATAGATGCGAACCATTTTAGGGACATTTTTTTCTCACTAGGCGATATTTTTCATGTAACTTAAGTGACTATAAAGGTAAAATTATTTTATTAAAGTAAGAAACATACCTCAAAAAACTCTTTGTCCATTATAAAAAACAAAAAAACACTTTAATAAAACTCAACAAAACAAACACTACGATACAAACGAAATATACATTAATGGCATTGGTGTAAGCATTTTTCGCATTTCGCAATTCGCATCTATACGAAACGGTCTTTGGTATTATTTTTCCGCTTATATGACTTTTAAAAACTGTCAACTAACTTAAAGCTAACTTCAGCCTTTGACTAAAAGCATGTTTCTAACTTCAGCCTGTGACTAAAACGCCATTAAGCCACATTTGGCAATGTGTATTTTAAAGGTCACTAATTAGTGATATGAAAACATGTAAATCTTTATTTACACTCTACACACATAAAATTCAAACTGGTTTTGATCTAATTTATTAGAAAATATTCTTAAGAACCAATTGGTTTGATTTATTTTAACAACTTTTTTCCTTACAACGGTAAAAACATTAAAACATTCAATTTATTTTTCTTTTCAGATTTTGCAAATTATTTTTAATTAATAAGAGAAACAGTTAGTTGTTTTTAAAAATGGCGAATGCGCCGGGGTCACAAAAAGTTTTTTATTATAAACAAAGTGGTTTAATATTTAATATTGAATTTGTTAGTAGATCCTTAGCAATGCAGGCTCGCAAGACACTAAATAAAGGGTCGTTACTTGTTAGTTATTTATTTTTGTCCATATTCTAATCCCTGATGAAGGCCTATCGTATGTAAGGGTGAAACCAGTGATTTTTTAAATTAAAAATTGCATACGAATCACAAGTAGTCATACGTAACACGTCGCTAAGAAAAATGTCTTATTAAAAAGGATTTTTTTTATTGATAACGATTGTATAATGGTTAAATAAGGAAAAATCAGAGCACTTCCTTTATATAACGCTTAACTTTGGTATCGCTGATTATAGAGTGGTTTACTCTTCGATCTGGTCCCCCAAAAACCAAAATACAAAAATCTTGTCTTGTTTTGAGTTAATTTTAACCAAATATTAACCAGATTGTATGTAGGTCCCCATAACTTTATGTTAAGTTTACAACCAACTGTAATCTGTTAACTAATAGAATAAGTAGTTTGTAATTTTCCAGATTTAACAAAATGCTACTTATGTCAATGACAAAAATATTTGTTGGAAATTGGGAACTTAAATGAAAAGAATTGTAATAAGAAATGTTACTTTACTTTTCAATTTCCTAAACAAAAAAATTAACACATACCTACATAAATAAACACAAAAATAACATACACACAATTAAATAACCCACCATTCTGAAATCATCAAATTATAAAAAAATTTGGTACAAAATAATTATAAGTACCTACTACTAAAACTCACTTCCCTGTATCCCCTAATTTCAGTTTAAAAACCAGGAATCCGAACAACAATAATAACAGATTTCTGGTAATATTTTATAAACACTCTGGACAGTTGTTACCACAGACAAAATAGACTTGCCCTGTTCAGTATCGCTAACATGAAACCAGCGTGCCATAAATCGGGGAAGGGGGCAAGGGAAATTTATACATTATATTATATATTATATAAGAGAAGATATGTATTCTGCCAGGCCCGTATTAAATAATTTCGTACGAGCGGTATCTTTTTAAAAAGTATTAAATTTATTTTGTTTTACATTTATATATTTGTAAGTACATAAATTCGTTAAAGATTTTAAACAGGAAAAAACGTACAAATAATTAAATAAATTATGTATTTAAACAAATTTTAATGTAATCCTTAATAAAAAAAATTAAAAAAATAGAATAAATTATAAATTCTCTAATCAAAAAAGGCAAATTAAGCTCTTAAAATAAAAAAAAATTAAAATTCTGAAAATTTTAAAATAAAAAACTGAACGAAACAGACCAATTTCGCTAAAAAGTCAGAATAAATAACTCCAAATGAAATAAATTTCCACTAAAAGTGAAAAAAGTATTATTTTAATATTATATTTTATTTAAAATATTCCTAGTAAATTATCAAAGAAATTCATCTAGTTTTACGCTCCAGAATAAACGACGTACGGCTCTGTGCAAAGGAGAGAACAACACAACATCTGTGTGCGCACGCAAGGTATTGACATGCAAAATTAATAAAATCGCTTAAAATTTATCTCGTAAGTATTTTTCTCTCTGACTTGTGTAATACAACTTCATGTAAATAACACCAATAAATGATTTGATTTGATTTGATTTGATCCTCACAGGTCAACTGCTCAAATATGAATGATGCGAACTGGAAAACAGGCACCCGTTCAGGCACCCGCCCGGCCGTATCATTTTCTCCCTAAGGCAAGTCTATTTTGTCTGTGGTTGTTACGAACACGTTACGAATAAGAATAAAGAAAAATAAGTTGCAGACGCTGAAATCAGTTAACTTGTGGATGCGTTTTGTTGTGGGAAATGGTTTGATTGGCCGCATGTAATCACGTGTACTTTTTAACGAAATAATTTGTCAAACCCTAACAAAATAATTTGTAGCCTTTAAAATTAACAAAATTCCTACAAAATTGCATATTACCTTTACAAAACTTTCGCTAAAATATTTTCCTTTGTTAATATAATTACAAACCCTGGTTTTATACAAAAAAATATGTTAAAATTTTACAAAATAAAATTAACAAAATACAAACTTATGTTAACTAATCTGATTTTTATTTAACAGTGTATCATAAAACTTTGGCTATAAATATAGATCTACATGAGTTTGTATTTTGTTAATTTTATTTTATCTATACGAATAGATATGTCATTGCCATGCCCTTATAATAATTATATACGCTTATATTTTGCATTCGTTTGAAGGCCCACCAATTCCAAATGCCTTTCACTAAATATAAAATTTCAGCGTTATGTTTTATTAAACAGTGAAAGACTTTTCGAGATTTTGGGAACGGCCCCGGGCCCTTAGGCCACCACTGGTAAAGGGACATGCTTTTTTTCGTTTTTTTATATATTTGTGTTTTCATAATAATATTATATTAATAAGCTAAGAAAAGCTACAATTTTTTTTATAATAAAATCATTTGAGGTATAGGTTAAATTTTTGATTAGACACATGCAATCTAAAGTTTCGTGTTTGTTTTAATGATTTAAAACCAAAATGACGGTATATGCACGTCAGTATGGTTTTATCTGACCACAGTAATTTACTAAAGCCAAAACACTAAATTTTACTTGATATTTGATCACGCCTTTGAAAAAACATGCATCTGTAAACTTAAATTATCAATTATTTTATCATGAATGTAAAAATCCAATTTTAGTATCCAAATTAAAAAACAATATCTAGGTATCTAAAAGTTTGTTTAGCTAGTTTTGTAACTGAATTGAGTTTGCTGTATTAAATTAGTTCTTCTTGATTAATCAAAAAACAAGATAGGATAGCTTTAAATCATAATAATATATACAGGGGGTCTCAAAATTGACGGCTCAAAGCGTAAAGATAAATTCCTCTTAAAATTTTAATCCGAATTTTTCTCTACTATTATTTCGAATTCGCAAAATCGCAGAAGTATAATGCATTGTGCGATAAAGCAGAAACACTGCGTCTTGATGTTTTAAGAAGAGCAGGTACCCCTTTACTCTTTGGTCGCCAATTTTAGGACATGCTTATTAGCGGCCTTAAAAATTAAAGAACTCCTGCAATATTACAGAAAAATTCGACTTCAAATTCTCTCATTTACCTTTCCCCTTTGGGATAAACCGTTTATATATAACCTATAGGTTCTGGTAAAAACTCAAAAAAGTTTTTGGATTTAATTTTTATCAAACACGGTAACTTTTAGAAAATATGTTGTCCTCTTCAATTTATATTATTGGATAGAAAAATTCTAAAAGTAGGTGGCGCCAAAGTACCCAAAAAAGCGTTTTATCGCTTTTTGACCCCGAAAAGTTTTTTTAACGTAATACTGTAATTAAGGGAGTTGTTAATCTTAAAAAAAACACACATTCCTATTCCATTCCATCTGAAAGGTCGATTTTAAGCTACTTCCACGCAACCGATTTAGCTGAAATTTTGCATACATTTTTGGTGCTTGTAAAAATAAAATTTAGTATACCGTAAACACGGGTGGCTTTGGCTCACTTTCAAACTTCAGCTTAAAATTTTTGTGGTTTTAACAATCATAAACATTAAATTTTGTACACCAAAATTTGAGTCTTTCATATTGGTTTAAAGTCACCCGCGGGGTGCAAAGTCACCCGTATTTACGGGAAAACCCAATAAAAACCGGTACCAATACACATATTTAGTCCGGTACAAACCATTTCATTTTCTTATTGGTTTTTATGGGTTATTTTCGGCAGGGGTATGTAAAATTTATTAAAAAGTCAATTTATTTATTCAACATGAGGAGCGTATAGCTGGGGGCATCCGCATCGTTTTTTCGGATCCCATGGCACAAGTGAAACCGATGCCCACCTTCCGATTTTCTTCTCAACTGTACAGCTTCACCTGTTTTTGCTGCATGCGGATGTTTAGCACTGTTTGCACTGTACCCTTTACGGGGTTCGTGAGCGACATCCCTTCTGTAAATGACCGATTAATTCCTTATAGAAACCAATTAAAGTATTGGTTGGTATAAATAGGTCTAAATTGGACTTACTGGGTTTAATTGGGAGCGATATAAAACAAAAATTGGTTTTAACTGATATTTTCCATGATGGAAAAATCCTATTAGGATTCTACTGTTTTCATTAAGTATTAAATTTCTGTAATGAAATAGACAGTACCTTTTTGATATCACTCTTTAACATTCACGTAACACGAATTAATGCTAGATCTATTTTAACTTTCTATAATACATATGCCAGAACCAATGTTCTTTTGAAATCTCCAGTATTTGTCATGAGTGGTAACTTCAATAAAATATGCAATGCATGTGATATTGCAGTTGCCACTATTAAAAATATTACAACCTTGGCCATAAATTATTTTGAAGTTGACTAAATTTATTTTGAATTTATATTTACTTTAGTATTCTGTATTATTATAATTGTCCTGTAATTGGAATTTCTTTTCTGTTGGGCAATAAAGATATTATTATTATTATTATTATTATTATTATTACTATTATTATTATTATTATTATTATTTAGTGGTTTCGATTGGTTAAAGCTACCAATAGAAAATTTCCAATTAAATTCAATTGGGCATTCCCAGTGTGTGGGTTTCTGTGCTTAGTGGTAGTTGTGTACTTAAAGTGGTGTGTACTTATACCTTAAAAAAATGTGTAAGGTTTAGGGACGATGGCGTGAGAATGGTGGTTACAGCGGACAAAATAAAAAAAAATTGACATAAATAATATTGATTTCGACCATGCCTACAAACATCCTTTGCAAGAAAGACAAAAAAATGGTTATAACCGAGTAATTTTATTTATTTTTTATTACTTTTTTGTGTTAGTAAGTTATACCTATGTATCAATACATATCTCAATAACACAAAAAAATAATAAAGAAATAAAGTTACTTAGTTTTAATAATTTTTTTGTCTATTCTGTGAAAAATAAATTCTGGTTTTTCCGGTTATTCTTCTCGGATCTTAATTATTTTTGAATGAAAAATTAAGTGGTATTTTTAATCCAAATTTTAAAAAATAAATTGGTTCAAATTGGTTTGAATGGTGATAATAGGGATGCCAAATGTTTTAGTGACCGTTCCCAGAATTACGCCGAGCCGTACCACACTCCCAGAGGGCTAGGGGAGCTGGGTAGACCTTTTGGTTTTCAGGGGACTATAACGCCGACCCAAACCTAGGTACGACGCGGAATCCCCTTAGACCGGGGCATTTAGTAATACCACAACCATTTGTGGTTCATGTTTGCGACTAATGTTTATTTGTCCTGTACTACATCTTGTTCTTCTATGTCAGTTTCCCCTTCCCATTCTATAGATAGTATACTGACTTAAAAAAAGATTTTCCCTCCATGTCAGGTTATTTAAAATAAGCTGGTGGCTTCAAGGAAGATTCAACTGCTCATTTCAAGTAAAGCTATATAAAAGGTTAATTTATTTATTTCCAATTATGCCATGGCTCGAATTATGCCATGGAAAATCATAATCATAATAATGTTACCAAAGTGTTTAATTTTTTTTTCAGAACTACACCTCAAACATTTAAGGAATCACTCTACTGATTTGGCGCTGCAGTCTCCTCCAATATTAGATGACCATCCAGCATTCTCATGTCAGGATTCCAATAAAAATTACATTTCTTTACCTGGTCAGTCGTTTTTGGCAAACAGTCACATCTTTAATTATTCGCATCATTTGAACCTACTTCAAAATGAACCGTTTAGTAAGTAATAAACTAGAATTATTTAGTCACACAATATCAAAATGTTACCATACAACGCAATAGAAATCTTGCCAAGGTTTTTAAAATTAAAACTTATCTTAGTATCTTAATGTTTAAAATACTATTAATTTATATAAAAGATTCTATTCTTTTATATAAATTAATTGTATTCTAATACAAGTTCTTAAAGACTTTTAATTCATTAAAATTTGTCATGATGATATAAAATGTTATAATTTTTGACACACAACTTTTAACCATTAGGTATCTAAAAACATTTTTTTTTTAAATTTTGTGTTAATAGTCATCATCATACATTAGAGTGATTACAAAAAAATAGTAGACTACAAAGAACTTTATTAGTTGAAATCCAAAGGTTTTTGATTCGCTAAATTTGAACCCGACCTTAGAATTGCTTCATGAAGAAATCCTAACCCAAAAGATAAAGAAACGCTTATAGATAGTTAAATGACGATTTTTTTTTTCCACAATACTTATTAGCTATCTAAAAGTACTACCCAGGTAGCACAACGTGACGAAACTGTGACGATTTGTGTCCATTGTGTCCAATTGGACACAAATCGTCACGGGTTCGTCACGTTGTGCGTCCCCGAAATGTGAACGGCAAAATTTAATCGTGTAATATGGGCTTTGCATCAGTGTCGTCGGTAGTTGTCAAATTAAATAATAGTTGTCAATTGCAATATCAAAAATGCCACCCCACTTAACTGAGGCTCAGAGGTCCAGGACAATAGCCAAATTAGAAGAAAATTGGTCTTTACGTGAAGTGGCTGCGGATTTAAATGTCAGTAAAAGCTGCATATTTTATATCAAGAACCGTTGGCAAGAAAAACAAAGATTGAGAAGATCTATCAGGCAAGGTGTAGGTAAAATCTCCAACGAAAATGAAGACAATGCTCTTTTCGCTCATATTAGGCCAAATCCTTTCAATAGTGCAGTTAAGGCCCGAGAAGATACACAATTTCCAGGATCTCTTTGAACAGCTCAAAAAAGATTGAAACAAGCTGGCTTAAAAAACTGTGCTGCTGCTCATAAGGTTTTTTTAACTGGCGAAAATAAGCGAATCCAGTTCGCCAATGACTATCTAAATTATGGAAAGGCATTTTGGAATAATGTTATATTTTCTGATGAAAAAACCTTCTAATCTTCCTATAATAGAAGGCTGCGTGTATATCGTCCAAGAGACGCAAGATTTGAGGATAACTACACATTAAGAACCTCAAATTTTTGGGCGTGGATAAGCGTCCATGGTTCGGGAATATGTTGGGAAATTAATGGTAGATTAACGGCTGAACACTATACGACGATTTTGGACAACGTTATGCTACCTTCAGTTAGACATGTGTTTCCAGAACATTTTATATTCCAACATGTTAGAAAACTATACAAAAGTATACAAAAATAATTCTAATAAATATTATATTACAGGACAATGCACCAGTTCACACAGCTCGCGTGGTTACAGAATGGGTAAACAACAACCACATAACTGTTTTACCATGGCCAGCTAGAAGTCCTGACTTAAACCCCATTGAAAACGTATGGGGATTTATACTTAAAAAATTATATCAACGGGACTTTAGGCCAGCAAACCGAAATGAACTACGGAATGCTGTTGAAAATTCTTGGGAAGAAATTGATGAGTCATACGACGAAACTAATAATGTCCAGGCCAAAAAGGTTGCAAAGTGTTGTGGCAGCTAATGGCTCTGCATATAAGCCTTAAAATAGCTTATAAGCAGCAATACAGTTTTTTAAACCAGCTTGTTACAATCTTTTTTGAGCTGTTCGAAGAGATCCTGGAAATTGTGTATCTTCTCGGGCCTTAACTGCGCTATTGAAAGGATTTTGCCTAATATGTGCGACAAGAGCATTGTCTTAATTTTCGTTGGAGATTTTACCGAAATGTACTACGGAATGCTATTGAACATCTTGGGAAGAGCTTAAGACATTTAAATTAAGCAATATGTTAATTTATTTATGTTATTTATATTTTTTATTTACCTACTTGTTAATATTGTACAAAACCAAATTAACGTTCATTTATTTGTAATATTGTTTTTCTACTCCTATTACGGAATTTGACCGTTCTATTATCACTTTTATCTATGGAATGACATATATTCCGTAAAGTGTTACAGAATGAAATATTCTATCATCCTATGACAGAATAAAGACTCGTGGCGACATCTATATTTTTAAATTCTAACAAATTTTAGACCGATCCAACCTCACTTTCTATGGTATTTTTTGGAAACGTAGAAAAAGTATAGTCTGAAACACGTTTGGAATTGCATATTCCGCTCGAGTGAAGAGTTTGTCACACGAGCCGAAGGCTGTATTCCAAACTTGTTACAGAATATACTATTATATTATTGTTTGTTAAAATATTATTAAAAAAATAACGATTTAGGATATTGTTCTTAGTATTTTCCCCTCTATTTGTAACACCAATGGCCAAAGCCAGGAATGAACATTCACATTTCGGGGACGCCAATTGTACTTCTTCCTCTACAATTTTTACCCAAACAAAACTCATAATGTAGTATAATCTTGCACCCACGTCCGTTTGGCGTCCTGTTTTTTTGTATTATTTATTTTTTATTTAAAACTTGGTCTGCCCAATGTTTAATATTTTTGGATCCAAAAAAAGCTTTAAATTAATTTATACCGGCCCTTTCCATTATTGCAAACGGCTAGGTATATAAAAAAACTGTACTACCGTTGAGTACAAAAATCCTTTTTTCAAAAAAAAAATCCTCATCAGGACAGTACTACCCAGTGCTGGATTAACCTTTAGACCAACCTAGGGCGCAGCGAAGCCAATAGGCGCCCAGGCAGAAGGATAATTTTGTTTAATAATAAGGTTGAACATTAAAATTAATTAATTAAAATAAATAATTATAAATACCTCGATTTTTTTATTATTTTTGTGTGTTAGTTCCCTTGTGCAGAAAGGCGTCAAAGTGACCTTTTGCGGTATCAACGACGAAATGTTACCTATATGTAAAATTCTGTTTTAGGTTAATTGTAAAAATTAAGTTAGTTCTTCATTGTTTTTCTATATAAATTATAGGCGCCATTATTGTTAGCCTAGGGCGAGAAATTGTCTTAATCCGGCCCTGAGTACTACTTAGTATCAATATATATATTTTTTTATTTTTCAGGTTCATTAAGTAGGCCTTCTTCGCCCTTTTATAGTTCCAACAGTAAAAGACGATGCGAAAAGAAACCAATTCCTGATGAACAAAAAGACGATAAATATTTTGAGAGAAGAAAAAGAAACAATCAAGCAGCAAAAAAATCTAGAGATGCTCGAAAAATACGAGAAGATAAGGTAACAAAAGCTAAAAACCCGAATGGTCAAAATAAAGCACAACTTTTAAAAAATTAAAATTTAAAGTACTTTAAGTTAAGTTAAGCCCTTTCGTTAAACAGGGTGTTTCGAAAATAGTGTGCAATACTCTACACGTCGTTTCTAAAGACAATAATAGGAAGACATCTTACTCGACATCTTATAAACATAGGTCGGAAATGACGGGAGCTACAGCCTCTTAAAGGGGAGCCCTTGAAACTGTTGAATGAAAAAACGTTCGAATTATAACTTTTAGGGTAATTTTTTTTAAGTAAATAAAAAATATACTGTTAAAGACCGTATTTTTGTTAGTATACCCTGAAAAGTTTGTACAAATTAAACGAACAGTAACGAAGATACAGCGCTTTAAAGTCGGTAAAAATGGCCCCTTTTTGAGTATTTTGCTGAAAAGTGGTCATTTTTGACGACTTTGAAGCTCTGTATCTTCGTTGCTGTTCATTTGATTTGTACAAAATTTTCAGGGTATACTAACAAAAAAAATTCCCTAAAAGTTATTTTTCGAACATTTTTTCATTATTAAATAAAAGGGCTTTGAAAATATTTTCTCGAAAAACCCTCGAACACGTAAACTGAGATATAAGTTGAAGTATTTTTATCCAAAATTTCAAAAAGAATAATAAAGGCGTTTTATAGATTTTTTTACAGTGGTTACAAAAATTATGGGCCATAATTGTTGTAACCACATAATTTATGGCCAATACTGTATATATATTAGACTGGTTAATAAAAATCGACTATTTTTTTATGAAATTTCGCACTTTACGGTACCAAAAAAATCCGGAGCTCTTAATTTTAATATTTAGAGGTCGCGCATCGAGAATTTCTATTTTCCATTTAAATAACATGGGAATTTTTTTTTATTTTTTTATAATTTTCTAGCTCACAAACTAATCAACAGATTTTTATGCGCGATATATATTTTTGTGCTCTACAAAAAATGTAACCTATCATTTTTCGATAAACCAAAGAGTTCAAAAGTTATTCAAAGTGGAAGTTAAATTTATGTCATAAAAAAATAGTCGATTTTTTTGAACCAGCAAACGTAAAATAGAAATTCACGATAAGCGACCTCTAAATATTAATATTAAGAGCTACAATTTTCACAGGCTTCTTTTTTCACTACTAGGAAGATTTTTTAATGCGGGCTTTGAAGAAAAAAAATATTCGATTTTTTTGAACCAGTCTAATATAATATATATATATATACGAGTATATATACGAGTATATATATATATATATATATATATATATATATATGGTATATGAGATTGCGGAAATGCCAGCTACACCACGCCAGCCGACACCATACGACAAGATGTAACACGTATATTGAGAAGTGCCAAACAACCAAAAAGTAATCTTTCACGAGAAGAACATCTTGCCCTTAGGAAGCTGAAAGAAAACAAGGACATCATCATCCTCCCAGCAGACAAGGGCAACGCTACGGTAGAAAATGACATCCAAGAATACAATGTCAAAATATAAACACTACTCAAAGACTGCATATACCAAAACATATCCACCGATCCAAGTACGTACCTGGAGAAGACAACCAAGGCCAAGGATGAACAACAAAGGCTTATTCCAAGAGAAAAGTCTTCAAAGTGCCCAAAGATATTGAAAGAAAACACCCAATCAGTGATGACATCGCAGAGCTAACCAAACACGGCCTCAATAATATGTACCTATTTCATATATATATACAACGACCAAAGATACAAACAAATCGAGGGTGCTCCAATGGGCTCACCAATATCGCCAGCAATAGCCAACTTATTTATGGAAGAAATAGAAGTACGAGCAATCGAAACGGCTATTTAAAACTAAAACCAAAGTTGTGGCTACGGTACGTAGCTGACACATTTATTATCTGGACCATCTCAACGGAATTTACAAAAATATCAAGTTCACAATGAAAACCGAGAAAGAACACCAATTACCTTCTGGATGTCCTAGGGCACACGGTCTACAGAAAACCAAAACAGACGGACCGCTACCTCAACGCTCAGTCTCACCACCACCCGTCACAACTGCAGTCAGTTATTAAGACACTTGTCACGCGATCCGAAACGCTGGCGGATGATGACCACAAGAAACAAGAAGACCTAAAAATCCAAAAGACGCTACAGCAAAACGGATTCTCCAAAGCCATCATAAAAAAGGCTCTTAGACCACGACGGCGGGTAAATACCACAGAGGAAGAGAACAACAAACCAACTTCGAAGGCCTTTCTTTCCTACGTCAAAGGGACAACCGAAAGAATAGGCAAAGTTCTCTCTAAAAAAACATAACATTGAGACCACATTTACCGCCTCAAGAAAGATCGGTCAAATACTTCCAAACGCCAAACCAAAAATAGAATTGAAGACACAAGGGGAAGCTACGTGGAACAGACCAATAGACGTATCAACGTTTGACGCGAAGAACAGTCTTAGAACAAGAAAAAACATTTTCCTTAGCTGAACACGCCTGAAAAACTTCCCATAAAATTGACTTCGAAAAAACAACACAGCAAACGGAAAATTATAGAAGTGTATAGGATGACGCCACGTTTGAATATTGTTTTCTAAATCTCCCCACGGTATAGATTTGTATTCGTCAGTCGAGCGTTTCAATATATTGAAATAGAGGTCGTAATTTCACTTTTGAACTAGTATTAATATAAAAATTATTTTTTGCTTAAAAAAAAAACTATACGACATGATTGTGATTTTTTTTCATTTTATTAATTAATTAAGCTGTGTTGAATAATTTTCCTAAAGGAATAATTGCCAATGGGCCATTAATTCATTTGTTCGTAGATGCTACAATAACCTGCACTGGTGTGTACTTTTTCATCAACCAGACTTAAATATTGCATCATATCCTCTGTGCTTTACATATACCAGTGGAGATAGTGCAGGGTCTACCAACAGACCTCATTACTAAATTATTTTTTCAACATAACCTCTGAAATTTTTAATACAAATATAGGTAGGTACTTTATATAATACATATATTTATAAATATACTTAACATCATATCCTCTGTGCTTTACATACCTGAGTTGTTACGGTAAATAAAAATCAGACAAAGGAAACAAAGAAAGGAACTATTTTCAACAAAATCATATGCAGAAATGAGAAAATTCAAACTACTTGCATCCATCAAAAGATCAAAACTTCTTGCAATATTACACCCTCCTTTTATACTCTCAGAAATATTGACTAGAACAGTATTAGTGAGACTCGAGTTTAAAATCAGACAAAGGAAACAAAGAAAGGAACTATTTTCAACAAAATCATATGCAGAAATGAGAAAATTCAAACTACTTGCATCCATCAAAAGATCAAAACTTCTTGCAATATTACACCCTCCTTTTATACTCTCAGAAATATTGACTAGAACAGTATTAGTGAGACTCGAGTTTCTATAACTTGGTAGAGTAAAGAGAAGTCGAAACAGTTGCGATATTGCATTTTGCTGTTTTTGTATAATTCTCGGGGACATTAACGAAAATCATTGCCAGTAAAATTCGAAAAGCTTGAGTTTCTATGTCTCTGAGGAGAATAGGAATCCGAAGTTGCTGCACCATTGGACTGAACCCTTTTTTAATAATTTCTAGAGACATAAATGACTGCACCATTCGACAGGGTCGAGTTTCTACCTCTCTGTTGAATATAGAAAATCAAAATAATGTATCTTGTAAGACACCATAAATATAGTCGTGCATAGGTATAGAGCCGAAAAATATAAAAACAAAGCACGATTCAATACAGTTATGATAAAACTTTAAGATTTGATATTCAAACGCGGAGTCATCCTATACACTTCTATAATTTTCCGTTTGCTGTAAAGGGTCGGTCTTGGCTAGCATCGAACACAGGACCAAACTTACCATCCGTGAAGCCATTGAAATAGAAAAACGTCCATAAAACAATACGATACACAGAGACTACCAACTGCATGGAAACCAGCTCTTACAACTACCAAAACGCCACGCAGATTAATGGAGCCGAACATAACACAGGTTCAATCGCAGTCACGGTTAATGACGCGGAAAGCTAAGAGGGTATATAAACAACGATCAGCGGCAACGGAGCTCACTCCACGTCTAACTCGCAGCAGAGCAGCCCAGCAGATAAGACCTGAAGATGGTACATGAGAATGTACCGAAATTCATCAGACATACGGTTCTTTTAAGAACCAAAAACCGACAACACGGAGCAGATCCCGGAAAACCATTAATACATATACACACGTCAACACGGTCTAGGGATATTATAAATAATGCACTATTACATATTATGTAATAATTATTATTGTTTCTAATTTTTTAAATCTTGTGTGGACCCAATAAAACTCTACTTTTCTAGTAAACTTTTTTATTTTATACCCGGACAACATTCGTGATATTCACACGAACATCATGTCGTGGTTTTCACAAATTTTATTCATACTGATATCATACGGAAGTCACCGCGTGATAAATGAAAATCATACGATCGTCACGTCGTGATTTTCACAAATTTTATTCATACGGACATTATCCGGATGTCACTGCGTGAGAAACGAAAATCATGTCGTGATTTTTTATGCCATCGCTGTTTGGGATTGACCGATGGCACAAAAAATCATGTCGTAATTTTTTATACCAACGGTGTTTGGATAATCATTTTTGCGCTACTGTTGATTCAATTGTTAACATACTTTTTCTTTCAATGTGTCGCAAAAATGAAGATCCAAAAACCGATGGCATAAAAAATCATGTCGTGATTTTTTATGCCATCGGTGTTTGGATATTTATTTTTGCGCCACATTCGTACATTGAGAGAAAAAGTATACCTACATATATATTGAATCAACAGTTTTTGTGGTTAAATACATTCAATATTTTTTTGGATTAAAATTATTAGTTAATTTACATCCAAGAAAATATTAAATGTATTTGACCGCAAAAACTGGTAATTCAATTGTTAACATACTTTTTCTTTCAATGTACGAATGTGGCGCAAAAATAAATATCCAAACATGTCGGTGCACCGATGGCATAAACAATCATGTCGTGATTTTTTATGCCCAAACACCGATAGCATAAAAAATCATATCGTGATTTTTTAGGTCATCGGTCAATCGCAAACAGTGATGGCATAAAAAATCAATACATGATTTTTGTTTCTCCCGCAGTGACATCCGGATGATGTCTGTATGAATAAAATTTGTGAAAATCACAACGTGACGTTCGTATGATTTTTATTTAACACGCTGTGACTTCCGTATAATATCAGTATGAATAAAATTTGTGAAAATCACGACATGATGTTCGTATGAATATCAAGAATGTTGTCCGGGTTCAATTAAAAAAGATATTCCAATGTTTAACAGAACGTTCACGTTTTGTTAAACATTGGAATATCTTTTTTAATTAAGCCCGCCCTTGCGCCCTTGAATTCACTGTGAATTCACCGTGAACAATTAATGTTCAGCTATATATGCCATTACAGACGCACACTTCCAAATAAATATTGCAACCCAACGCTATTTATAGTTAGCTCGATTGCGTAAGCAGCCGTGAGATGTATTGCCGCTTAACACAGAAATCGACTAATAAAAAAAACCGCTAATAAATGGCGCCCAACTTGTTGTTTTTTTCTTTATGATGGCGTCTCAACCTCGTTGATTTTGCGCAGCTACACGAGAGCCCTCTTGCGATATTTGTATTGTAATGGGAATAACCAATTAGCAGATTGTTCGAATCTTACACTTACAATTTGCGGTGTTTTCACAGTCAATTTACGGTGTTTTCACAGTAAACTCACAGCGCTTTTACGGTGAATTCAGGGTGATTTCACGATAAATTTACGGTACTTTCACAGTGAATTTGCGGTGATTTTGCAAACTTGAGTTCACCGTGAATTTACCGTGAAATCACCGTGAATTAACCGTGAAATCCCCGTGAGTTCACCGTTTAATTACCGTCTACAAATGTCACAAATGGACGGTATATTCACTGCACATAAACGGTGTATTCACGGTGAATTCACGCAAACGGTAAATTCACGGTGAATTCACCGTAAACTCAAGCCCGCAAGGGCGGACAACATTCGTGATATTCAAACAACGATTTATAAATTATAATGGTGTAATGTGAATAACAAACTAGGTTTTAAATTCGCAGTTCGCAGGGCTCATACGCATGCGCAAATTTTGCAAATATCACACCGTGAGTTCTACATGATATCACTGTGATGAAGCATCTGCATGCACTCAGGTTATCACATCGTTATAAAAAATCACGTTGTGATATCATCATGACTTCACCATGAAATCCCGATTGTTGTCCGGGTATATAAACAGAAAAAATAAAAATAAAAAATTTCCCATAAACTGAACATAATGAAATTTTCTTCTAAAATCAAAATTTTATAATAAATTGTAACCTAATGTTGTATGACCACCCCGGGCATTAATAATAGCCCTACATCTTCTGCCCATACTAAAAATTAAATTATTAATTTCGTCCTGATTGATAGCATTCCACTCCCTGTGAAGATTGTTTATCAGTTCTTCCCGGTTATTAAAAAAAGCATTTTGACGTAGAACATGTCGCACACATGTTCAATGGTATTGAGGTCCGGGGATTGTGCAGGAAATGGTAGTACGTCAATTGACTCATTTTATAAAATTTTAAAGTTATCCTACTAAGGTGCGGAGGGATATTGTCCTGTATTAACAAAAATTGTTGCCCATAAGAGACTGCTCTTAAAAATCCTTGTAACGGAACGAGAATCTCGTTACGAGATCAGTTCTCCCACCAGCACTAATTCCACCCCACACCATTACTGTACCACCTCGGTAGCTGTGAACTTCCTGTGCTGTTTGCAGATGTGCTATGTTTCCAGAAGCTCTCCAAACTCTTGACTGTCAGAATGTAATCCTAAACGAGATTCATCGGTAAATAAAACTGTTGCCCATTGTCCTCTGGTCCAATTTTCATGTTCTTGTGCCCAAGCCAGTCTTGCCGCGCGATTGCCTCGACTCAGTGGTGGAACTCTCAAAGGTATTCGAGCATGTAAATTGGCTTCGTGTAAGAGAGGTCTAACAGTTTGAGCACTTACAATAACTTTATAAGCTCAGAAACCAACTCGAATGCTGTTGCTGTCACATTTCTTCGGGCACGTAAAACCAAAAATCTGTTTGGTTTTGTGTTGTGGCCCCAAATGTCATTAGTGTACACTACCCGTATTACGATACCGTTGCCAAAGCCTACTTATAACACTCTGACTAGTGTCTAACAAATTCGATACATGATTTTGATTTGCACCAGCTTCTAACATTCCAACTGCTCTTAGAATTTAAATGCTCTTCGGTCAAATGTCTTCTCTCCATGGTAATTTTAAACCACCTAAACATGTATTGAACAATTTTTAGCCAAACTTAAATAAAACACTTGCAAAAACAACAAAAATAATACACATGTAAAAACAACAAAATAATTTTTAAATTTTTTATAGATATTTTCTTAATAATTCTGCCTGATAGTTAATATATTTGATTTATTTTAATTATAAATAAAAAATAATTTACATTTGAAGCTAAAAATTGATAAATGAATAATTTAAATTTTTAGGAGTGCCCCTTCAGGATCTCTGTAGGTCCCATAGGTCCATAGGGGCCATTTGCCAACCTATGTTTATACAAAGTTTTCTTTCTGTTTTCGGCCCTAAAAACCGCTTGTATGTTGCCTGTTTTTTCTGAAATTAACTGATACAACTGTGATTACTTCTAGGATTAAATATATTTAAGAAACTTTGGAGTTTAAATGTACTTACAATGTTCTTTAATTAACTTTTTTTTAGGTTGCATTAAGGGCGACGATTTTGGAACACGAAAACGCTCTTTTAAGAGCACAGGTTTTAACACTAAAAGAAGAAGCTTCATCTTTGAGACAAATGTTATTACACAAGAAAACGTTAGAATTAACATAAAGGTGTGTGTATTCAATACACTGTATTGTTTTATTTGTAAATTTGTTTCTTTCAAAATTTATAATTATATTGTTACCTATATCTTAAGGCACTGTAAGTAAATCTACATCCACACTATGTTGAATCAAAAGCAAGTCAAAATGAATGAAATCATATGATTTGACATATGACATTTATTTGACCCAGTGCAGTGGGGACGTGACGAACAGATTGCTTTAAAGTCGAAAGTCTTAGTCGTCACGTCCACACTGGGGCAAACGACATGATTCGATTCGACGTAGTATGGACGAACCTTTAGCAATAAAATTTTAAAAATTAAAATGTGTCGAAATATTTTATTTAAATTATCTATTTATTTAGATTTTTAACTATAAAGGTGTTAAGCTGTCATGTTTTCCCGTTCACTATTTAAATGTTTTTATTTTCCTTAACTCAATATGGATTATTTTTACTTTTGAAGGTGTACCTATGAAAAAACTGTTAAAGTTCTGGAAAATGACAAACTTAAGTTTAGCAGATAGCACATATACGTCCACTGGATAGCACACATACGTCCACTGGATATCCTTAGGACGTCAACCCAGGACATAGTGGACGTCCTACGGATATCCGAAGACCACGAATGGACGTCCGTAGGACTTCCAAAGTAGACACTTTTGGTTGTCCTTTGACCGTCCTATAATGGTCTATTAAAGACTGTCCTAGGACCAAATTTGGCCATAATTTGGCTGACAGGAATAAAAACTAAAACACCTAAAATTTTTAACCAAACATTTTTATTCACCTATATTTTAATTACAGCACAAATGTCCAGAGGACGTCCAAAGGATATCCCCTGGACATCTCAGTGTCCAAATGACATCCATTGGACGTCCACTGCCGGTAAATTCGAAATTCAGACATTCCTTGCTTTGCGCTGACTTCAACTGGTCTGGTCCACCTACAATGTATTTTCCCTATGACATAGGCTATGTATAGCTTGCAAATGAAACGGTATATGAGCTCATGAGCACCACATAAAAAAAATTCACGGTTAAATAGGAATAAAAGCTTTTTTAGATATTAAATAAATAAAAGCTTTTCTAGATAACAATAAAAATGATAACCTCACTTTGTAGTTTGGTTGTTGTAAAATTTTGATGTAGGGCTTTGGGAGGATAAAATAAAATTTAGAAAGTATAGAAAGAAATCCCTTGGAAAGTAAAAACAATAAAAATGTGTTTTTATAAAATATTTTTTTTAAATCCTTGTTTTCACGATTTGTTTACGCCCAATTATCAGTGCAACCGTAAATTTTGTTTGTGTGGTACAGTCTATTAGTCAAAACAAACCTAATCTAATTACTTACTTGAATTTATTCTATTACAAGTCTATAAACAGCCAATACCTAGTAGAAATCACAACACACAATGTAGAAACACCGCCATAAACGCCATCACACAGCAAAAGAACGCCATTGCAACGGATTATGGGAAGCGTCGTCACGAACCCGTTCGGTTCTACCCGAAGAAGACCGATGTTTAAAATTAAAAACTATACTTTATAATAACGGTGTTTTTATACATTTAAACGTTATAGCGTTGAGTAAAGAAGTAGTGAACTTATTAATCAATGGTAATAGAATTTAATTGAATTTAAAAATGATGCAATAATGGATTTTACTACCTTTACGTGATAACAAGAAATTTTAAATTAAATATAAATGTATAAATCCCGACGAATAGTACGAATATGTATTATAAACTACCTATATTCAATAATAAACTTCATTTTTTTGTAAATTAATCTTTCTTATAATAAGGCTAATCGATTTGATTGACTTTCTGTGACACCCTCAGGCTGTCCCACGAACATCCAAAGAAGGCAAAAGAGAAACCTCATAAAAATAGGTGGTTTATATAATTTGTACATGATATTTAATATTACCCACTATTTATTACATATCCGAAATTTCTTGAACGAAAAGTTTAGGCATGATAGCCCATGGGTGCACCCACATAGGTAGTACAAGATGTCCAAAGGATGTCCAATGGACGTCATTTGGACATCCTGTGCTGTGTGAGCAGGAACGTCCAATCTAGGTAATTCTCGACTTAGCCAGGCCGAACGGGTCTGGGACATCCATAGAACGTCAATTATAGACCTGGTCCGGCTAAGCCTTATTTGGCTTACTTTGGACGTCCAAAATACGCCAAATCAGGCTAAGCCGGACAGGGTCTAGACTTGACGTTCTATGGATGTCCCAGACCCGTTCGGTCTGGCTAAGCCGAGAATTACCTAAATAGGACGTCTGTGGGTTATCTTGTGCTATCTGGGTTAGTCGAATCTAGCGATATTGCGGGTCATGACATGTCACCGATTCTGAAGTTCAAACATTTGTCAAAGCAAAAATTTATCCATATTAAATTCTTTAGTTTAATAATTTAGGATGTTTACACACCAAAATGTTACTCTACCTGTCACTACTTCCGTTTTGTTCCTCGTAGTGCTCGCGGTTGCTCAATGATAAATTCTTAAAATATATGTGACAATATAGCAAGCTTTGGCATTTTAGCGAGGTATTGTTATTTGTACCCAATTGGTTTGTTTCAAGATTAAAATGTTCATATTTTCAAATGGCGGATGCTGAAACCGTGAGACATTAGTATCTGTGTCTATTAGGCACAGTGGTCCTGAACGAGTCATAGGTCACATAAAAATGACGCCAAAAACTGACTGCAGTATTGGAATAAGGATGTCGTCTGTTTAAAAATATGTTTTCAAAATTGTAGCTGTTCCTTTTTTGAAGTTTAGCTAAATAATCCAAATATCAAACGTCATTTGGTGATTCATTTTAGGTTTTTGCTATTATCTTTAAAACGGAGGCCTTTGAAAAAATGTTTGAATAAGGAAATAAAGGTGACTTAATTATCTATTAAATCATGCCTCCATAATTATGCCTAAACTATTGGCCTACGAAATCCATGGACGTAGTCGTGAATTTTTTATGTTTAACTTGGTATGTTTTATTGTTTTGTAAATAACCTGCCATAGGTTACTTTCAACATTGCACCATCATTTTTCTTTAAAGAAATATAACCTATATAAAATAAAAAAGACAAAAAACTCGCGGTGGGCATTCTTCCAAGTGATTAATTAGTACATGAATTTTTAAAGTTTGAGATATATCAGCAGCTTTAAACATAACTACTAATGTTTGTATGTGCATTTTTATTTAGTCCAAATTTGGAGTTTTGGTGGAAAAATAATTCTCAACTAATTTATCCAGTCTTAAATTGAGACACGTATGGTAAAATGACCAAAGGACTAACAGTTTGCAAAAAATCTTTTGTGTCAGGATGTTTCAGAAGCATTTAACACACATTTCTCTCAAATATGTCACCTTGATAGTTCTTAGACCAAATTCAGTGTTTTAGGCCATCTCAACGCTTGTTCTTTTCCCAGAAGTTTCACTAGTCCGTTCCATAATACTTAGGCAAAAGTGTTGCCTGGCAAAGGTGAAAATTTACTCCTTGTTGGCAATTTAATGTAAGCAACTGATGGTAGTATTATTGCGTGAGCGTATACCTCAACTGAAGATACATTACTTACCCAGATAACATTCGTGAGTTCACCGTGAATGCACGGTGAAAAATATTGCTTCACGCGTGAATTCACGGTTGCTAAAAGATGCGTCCGCCCCTGGAATTCACCGTGAATGCACACGTGAAGATATATCCGCCCATTGAATTCACCGTGAATGCACACGTGAAGATGCGTCCGCCCCTTAAATGCACACATGAATTCACCGTGAATGCACACGTGATGATGCGTCCGTCCCTTAAACTCACCGTAAATGCATGCGTGTTCTAAATTCGCGCGAAAAAAATGAAATAAGGGTGCATGTTCAGAAAACATATTTCCCCTATATAGTAAAATAAGTTTTCTGAACAAAAAATGTGCATTCACCATAAGGGGCCGTTCATTAATTACGTGAGGTGTTTAGGGGGGGGAGGGGGTCGAGCCAAACCTCACCAAATCTCACGTGGGGGGGAGGGGGGTTCTCGGCAAATATCACGTAATTTTTTTTTCCGAAAGAAAGAGTGTTAAATTGCGAGAAAACTGGGTTAAATTAAGTAAACAATTATAAGCAAATTGTTTTTTTTAATAAATCTAATGGAATCAAGCACAGATTAACTTATTTACATTAAAACCATGCATTTTAAAAAATCTCACGTGAGATTAAGGGGGGGGGAGAGGGGGTCGAGCAAAATCTCACGACATCTCACCAAGGGGAGGGGGGGGGGTCGAAAAATCGCCAAAATTGTCTCACGTAATTAATGAACGGCCCCTAATTTCAATTTTTTCGCGCGAATTTTAGCATGCATGCGCACTCACTTCGAGCTTCACTTGTGCATTTACGGTGAATTCAAGGGGAGGACGCATCTTCGCGTGCGTATTTACGGTGTATTTCGTGCGTATACTCAATTTTTTTTGCACTTAATTTTAAATTGGAACACAAAATAAAACGTGTTATTTTTTAAAATAACAGATTTTGTTATATTTGTAAATAAAGTCAAATGAAAAATGTTAAATAAAGATGTGATTTATGTCCAATTGGAAAATATTTTTTAGACAATTATGCCATCCACGCCAGATTTTGTTATATTTGTAAATAAAGTCAAATGAAAAATGTTAAATAAAGATGTGATTTATGTCCAATTGGAGAATATTTTTTTAGACAATTATGCCATCCACGCCGACGGTGGTCTAGTGGTTAGTGCTGCTGACTACAAGCCGGAGGTCGTGGGTTCGAATTCCACCAGGGGTATGGCTGTTTATTTGTGTTTGTCCTATTGTGTATTAGTCCTTCGAAGGGGACTTTAAACCCGCGGTCCGTTCCTACCCCTAACCGGCACAAGCCATTCAGTTGGCTTATGGGACTTCTTAAGAAGTATAAACTTTGTATAATTAAACTTGAGGTACAATAGTATACTGAAATAAAACACAAAGTGTTATGT